GCGCCCCGCCGCGCCCCTGCGCCCCCTCACCTAGCTCCTCCTGCTTCCGGCAGGCCTTGCTGAGATTGACCGAGGTGCACACCTTCTCCATGTTACTCCAGCGGCTTCGTCCACTGATGGCCCCCTGGAAACGCAGCCAGACCCTCTCAGCCGGAGGCCCCCGGGGCCCACCAGCCACAGGGAGCTGCCTGCAGTCGGCGCCCCCCGGGAAGCTCTCACCGGCTCGCTTCTGCACCAAGAGCCCTCCGACTCCCGATCCCCTATAGACCTTGATGACTCCGGGGAGGAGCGTTAGGTCGCTGGCCTGGTCCATGGATCTGAGGGCACGAGAGCTCGGAGCACCCGCGCCCTCTGGTGGGCTCATGGGCGCCCCTCCCACACTCCGGCCCCCCAGATCCCCCCTTTCCCTTCCGACATGGCCCCACCTCCCATGCACCCAGCCAGGCACGCCAGCCCCGTGGACGCTGGGCTCTCCCTCACTGTGCCTCTGGACCCCTCACCCTCAGCCCAGCAGCCAGGCCCTAACACTTCACGGGAGCTGCTGAGCACATCCAGGTGGGGGGAGAGCACACCAGGGGGAGGGGGGGCGCTTTGGAGGCCCAAGGGGAGAAGGATGTTCACTCCCTCCCCTCTGTCCAGGGGAGCCTGCTGCAGCCTCCCAGCTTAAAGACTGGGGCCCGGGCACATCGCGGGGGGGGGAGGGGGGCTGACTCTGGGTGAGGACGGGTCAGGAACGGGCCCCAGAGGGACAGGGGTCCCAAGCAGCAGCCTCACCTTGCTGTAAATAATCTGTAGTGTTAGAGGGACGGCCTCGCGATCACCATCGATGCCCAGACGCTTGCTGCCAGGACCTGGGCCGCACGGGACAGACCTTCACTCCCTCTCGTTTCCGGTACCCCTCCCAGACCCCGCGGCCGCCACCTCCCGGGCCCCGTCTCCCCCGGGGCTCAGGCAGCACCCACCCGAAGCCTTGATGGCACGCGTGGCGGCCGAGTGACCCAGCTCCAGGGAGTGGATGAAGATCTCTTTCATCTTCTCCCCGGTGATGAAAGTCAGCTGCAGAGGGCAAGGGCCGGCGTCAGTGGGGACCTCCCGGAGCGGCCCCCCACCCCGGGGCTGCTGGCTGCAGGGGTGGGGCGGTGCCTGCAGTGGGGGGGTCCTTACCTCTGTCTGATAGACCTGCAGCAGCACTGGCCGGGCCGCGAAGCGACAGTAATACAGTAGCATGTCCGCCAGGATGGGCAGCTGGGCCGAGGAGCCGTCCAGGGGCCGGGGTTCCGCCTTCAGAGACTGCTGAGGGTGGGCGGCGGAGCCCGGTCAGAGGCACTGGTGGCCAGCAAGCGAGCGAGGGAGCAAGGGAACGTGAGGGCAGGAGACACGGACACACACACGTGTGGAGACTGAGGCAGACCAAGCCAGGCAAGGGGGTGGTGGGATCAAAGCAGGACACATAATGGTCGGGGGACGACCCACAGCCCAGCCTCTGGAGCCCCCTCACCGGACACCAGGGCCGCCAGGGAGGGCCCTGGCCGAGCTGGACAAAGCCGGAGGAAGTGAGGAAGGGGGCTGAAGCCTAAGGTCCCCCGGACCCTGCTGGGACCCGCCGTGACACTGCCCTCGATTTGGGCTCAGTCGCACTTCTCACCCCGGTCCTCCCTGGAGGCCTCAAGCTGGATCCCCCGAAACCAGGGCCTCCGAGCAGCGCCGTGCGACTGCAGTTGGTGCCCCCCGCCCCCCCGGGGGCCACTCACCTGGCACAGGACTTCGGGGGGCAGGTGCATGAGGCCCAGCACGTTGCGCTCATACCAGGGGTCGAGCATGCCGAGGTAGTGGGAGATGTCATTGGTGCTCTCCAGCTCCTGGGGCAAGGGGCGAGAGTCATTCCAGCCCCCCGGGGCCCCAGATGGCATCTGCAGCCCCAGCCGTAGCTCCTCCCGGCCCTGAGAGAAGTCTGCGAATCTTTAGTCTGTGTCACACAGCAAAGCGCCGCCCCCGCGTGCAGGGCAGGAGCTGCTCCCCAGAGCGAGGCTCAAGCGGGAGAAGGCGACTGCAGTCGCCTAGACTCGGTGACTGCTCTTGGCAACCTCTCACCAGCCCCCGTCGGGTCACCGGACCTGCAGGTGCCCACTCTGCGCCCCCACTGCATGTGGCCCGGGGCTGGGGACATACCGCAGGGCTGGGGTGCCTCGGGGAGTCTGTGGGGGGTGGGGGCGTCTGGCTGGCGGCGGGGGGGCAGGCGCTGGAGCCGGTCCCCTGGCTTCGCTTCACGGGCACGTAGAAGAACTGAAGCTTGAAGCACCGTGTGAGGAGCGGGCGGTTGTTCTCCAGCTGCCTGGTAAAGAAGAAGGCGAGGAGAGGAGCGGTCCCTCTCGGACCCTCAGCCCCCCCGCCCCGCCGCCCCCCCAGGGCAGAGCGAGGCCCCCGGGTCCGGCTCCTACCGCAGGTTGCTGTAGGCCCGAGCCACCTTCCCCGAAATCCGATCGGAGCCGAAGACCACGACGCGTAGTGTGGACGCCTTGGGGTCCTCGTCCCCGCTCAGGAAGGGTCGACGGCGTTGGTGCCGCAAGGCGGGGGCCAGGAGCCAGCTGGGCAGCTGGGCGCTGAGCTTGGGCTGGGGCAGGGAGCGCGAGCGCTGGGCCCGCGTGGGGGGCGGCGGCGGCAGCAGGCCGTCCAGGGGGCTGCAGAGGCTCCCCGCCCGCCGCAGCGGCAGGCTCGAGCCTGAGCCCGAGCCGCCCTCCAGGCCCCGGGGGTCCCTCCGCAGCACCAGCTGGCTGGTGCTCTTGAAGAGTTTATAGATCCTGTTGAACTTCTGCCCAGGCCTGCGGTGGCCCCGGCGCTCCTGGCCGCCCGGCCTCTTGGGCCACTCGGAGGAGCCCTCCTCGCTGTCCTCCACGTAGCCGCTGTCCATGCCGTCCGAGAGGCCCGAGACGAAGGAGGTCAGCAGCTGGGGGGAGAGGGTGGGCCCCGAGGCCTGGGACGAGGCGAGGGACAGGGTGGAGTCGTGGAAGACCGCCGAGCTGGTGGAGAGCACTGAGTCCCTCTGGGCACAATGCCCGTCCGTTTCCAAGTCCTCCTCCTCTTCCTCCTCCTCCTCCTGCTCCTCATCATCCCCCAGGATCCCCGGCTGGAGCAGCTCCTGTTCCTTGAGCAGGATTTCCTGCAGGATGTCTGCAGGGAAGCCAGGGGAGGCACCGTCTGGGCATCTGGGTCCTTGAAACCCCTCTTGCACCCCCTCGGAAGGGGCGACAGGCTCAGACCAGCCAGAGGAGGAGGAGGGCGAGGGCAGAAGGAGGTGAAGTGCAGCCCAGGACTCGAGCACCGCCCCCTGCCCAGGCGGCTGGCGGCAGGACCAGGAAGCAGCCCCCCCCCCACCCCAGGGGGTGCGGGGTGGGCTCCACGAGGGCCCCAGCCAGCTGCTTACCGAAGCTGTCCTGGTTCCAGCTGTACGTGTGACACCTGGCGACAGGGATGGGGATGGTGCGGAGCTGGCCAGGTTGGGCAGTGTCTGCTAGAACAGGGCGACAGGGGGTGAGGGCTGGAAGGGGCTCACAGAAGAGACCAGCGCTGGCCACACAGCTGGACGGGGCCGGGGCCGAGTGGGAAGCTGGCCAGCCTCTTTCCGCCCTCGGGGGTGGTGGAGCCCCCAGATGAGGAGAGCCTGGGTCCCCCACGGGCGGTGTGGGGCAGAACCACTGGCCGACTTGGACTGCTCACCACCCGGGGAAAAGGCACCGCGCTCTCCCAAGAGCCTCACCTAACACGCCGGGGAAGCCAGCTTTCTGTCCCACCGCCTGCAGCCTGGTCCTGAGCCACTCCCGGGCCTCGGCTGCGTCCCCGATGCCAGAAGCTAGCTCCTGAGCTTCCGCAGTCTCCGTGAAGATGTCTTCGAGCTCGGCCAGGCTCTTGGACTGAAAGCCCAGGAGGAGACGGGCTCACGCCCCCGAAACCAAGGCTCGGCTGCCCGACTCCTCGAGCTCCTAGGGTCTTCCCGGTGGCGGCCGTGGCCCATCTCCTCCCCTGCCTCGGCACCCACCTCCCCCCACACCTGGCCGGGGGCCTCCCCGGGCCCCTCTTCTCAGGAAAGGCCCAGAGCCAGGGCCCTGCCGAGTTGGGGGAGGGTCCTTCACAGCTCCCCGCCACGTCCCAGACAGGGGAGGGGGCTGTCCAGGGCCACAGAGCTAGGACTAGAAGTCAGGTCTTCCAGCTTCCCTCTACAGCCTGTTCCCAGCCCGTTCCCAGCCCGCCCGGCCCAGGCCATCCTCAGAGGCTCCTGCCCAGCCCCCTGCCCAGGCTGCCACCCACCTCTGTCGGGATCCAGTGCCACCGAAACCTCTCAGTGTGGCCAGCCCTCCAGCCACTGCCCTGCCACGTCAGCCACGGTGACGCTAAGGCCCCGGGGCCCCAGGCACGTACCTGCAGCCTGCCGTGCAGCCCCGGGAGGTCACAGTGGGCCCCGAAGGTGGCCTGGAAGGCGTGCAGGAGCAGGGTAGTATAAGCACTGTGGGGCGAGTGCCCGGGCGTGCTCAGCTTGTTGGCCACGGCGAGGAACTCAGCCTGCACCTCCACTGGGTTCAGCAACAGCACGGTGCTGGGGACACAGAGGGCAGGCTCTGGGGGGTGGGGACAGTGCAGCCCCTCACGTCTGGCGCCTGGCGGAGCTGCTGAGCCCCAACCCCCCTGGCGGCTGAGGCCAGGGGAGAGGCAGGGGGCTGGCTCAAGGGTCCCAGGTCCAAGTGCAAAGCTTAGGGTCTACTCCTGAGTATTTTTCAGCCAGTGTTTTCAAAGGGCCTTTTGAAAGCGGGACTTCATTGTTACAAAAGGAACTTCACCTTAATTTTTATATCAACATTTTTCCTACAGGACGTTGGAATGGATGGAAGGAGGACTCAAGAGGACTGCCCTCTCAGCGGAGGTGACTTGGAGCTAGGGGCTCATTTTGCAGG